CTAATTAAATTACAATATACTATTAATATTATTATTTACATTGCAACTTAATTTGAAATTTCTTTATACAGCAAACAGTTCAATAGTTATAGCTAGAAAATCAGTTTCGAACTATTGCTAGTTGGATTCCTAAGAAAGGGAAAGTAAGATAAAGCTTAATAGATTTTGATATATAATATAATTCGATATCAATTGGCATTTACATGAAACTGTTCTTCAGCCACTTAAAAATTGTTAACAGCTTTCATTTGCTACATTGTTACCCGTTATAAAATTAGCGGAACTCATGGATCGAACAGCTATAGCCAACTGTCATTAGGTAAAATGTAGTTTTATCCATAAATAAAAATATGTGTACACTATTTAGCAATATACGTACGTGAATAACTGCACGATTTTGCATATTTAGCTGCAGATTAATCTAGAGCAATGCGCTGCCGTGAACGATGTTCACGAACATACATCGCGAATTAAATCGTACGCAACAGGTAAATCACTCACACACACAAAAGCAGTCAGCATCGCTTGTAATAAATGACAAATGCAGTTTGTCGTTATAAAATATTATATTTAATTTAGTAAATAAGTGAACAGAAAGTCTTATTTCAATACGCATGCTCACATATCTTCATGATTGCTACAGCTATATTTAAAGCAAGTTAGAATGCAAATTTACATTACGCTCGGACTGTTCAAAGAGTTGGCGACTTATGGTCCTGGAGGAAAATTCGTTGGTCGGCCTAAGTATTTAAATCGGAAGGGAATTAAATGTATAACTTTATACCCTGAACTTCCTTAATATACCCTAAGTTTGCCACAACGTTTGTAATCCCCAGAAGGAAACATAGGAGACCCTATAAAATATGTGTATATACGAGTATACATAATCAGCATGACGAGCTGAGTCGATTTAGCCATGTTCGTCTGTCCATCCCTCTATCTGTAAATACGCGAACTAGGCTCTCAGTTTTTCAGCTATTGCTCCAAATTTTGCTTACAGAATCGTCGATATCGGCCCTTTATAGGCTTTTTTATTTTATAAAATGTCGTCAAGAAATTTGTCATGAATTATTGCCCAAAGCAATGCTACAAATCGAAGCACTATATGATATAGCTGCAATTCAAACTGACTAATCAAAATTAAGAAAAATATATTTTGCTTGTCTAAATTGCCACATGCTATTAAAGCTATTTACTTTGTTCCATTGATAGTTAGTGATTGAAGAGACATTGTCTGACCCAACTTAAAGTTACATATCAAAATATATTGACGTCACAGTTAACTGTGCATCCTGTCTGTGCGGGATCTGCGTTATAGCTCTGAATGTTTCGTACAAATTTTCATATTATGAGCTCTCATATTATTTTATGAATCAACCATTACAATATTCATACTTTAGACAAACGACAAAAAATTACAAAGGTTTCAAAAAGTTAAATTCAGCGATAAATGCACCACGTTATACAATTTTTTTTATAAATTTCCTACAGGGTAAACATTGAAAGACCTATTCATCTACATATTCATGTTGCTACTGTATTTTAGTATGCATCTGTACTTACTTATGTGTGTGCAAACATGTCAAACAACATAATATTGTTCTGTTATGTACCTATACCCGGAAGCTGCAATTGAACATGAAATTAAACTAATGATCAAATATGGCAAGATAAGTCGAGCGCAACCGTAATAATATAAGTGGCAAATGTTACAAAACGACAAAATGTGGTAGTATACATATAATACACCTCGAATCAATGAACCTCAAATTGTATTCTAGAACTGTACGAACGAAGTGTTGCATATAACATTCACTTAAGGGTCCACACATGCCCAACACATGAAAATTTTGTTACATTTTTGGATTGTTTACTTATTGACCCAATTTATTGGAGAACACACTGTGATTCGCACAGTGGATATTTCAATTAAAATATTTGTTTGATTTTGTGGACGATTCCACAATTTTCAATTTAGTGTCTCAACTTGATTTGAACTATCGAATATATATATTTAAATTATTAAAAAAAGTAAAATGGATGTTGACGAGTCGGGCGACGATAATCCGATTAAGAAGCGGAATGTCGTGGAAACTATGATCCCGACCCTTTTGTTAGCTGGTGCTGTACAGGCGCGAGTGTGCTGTGTTGTCCCGTGTGGTGATGTATTAGCGTGTTGTCTTAGGGCGCGCCAGTTTTTCCCGAATAGAGTGGGGTGTAGGTAGGGGTAGGCTTAACTCATTTAAACAGATATCTTTGCTGAAAATCTCTGTTAATGAAAAATTCAAAAGTTGAGCGAATGCGTTACTCTTTGACTAAAACTATTCAGAGATATCCCTTTAATTGCGATCATATTCTTTGAAAATTAATCCCATACCACAAAACATAACGTTATCTTACTCTGTAGTCTCCTGAGATGTCGTGAAATATAGATTAGAAACCGAAGAGAATCCTTTTCTGATAATAATATGTCTTTATGTCAAAAATGGGTTGAATCGGGTCAATAATTCCATTAGGCTCCATATACCTAATATACAATTTTTGTAACTTTCGGGTGACTATATCGCATATATCGGCAAATAAGTAAGATACCTTAGTAAAATTGACTGACCGTATACTCAACTTTATTACGAAAATTCACGTTTTGTTAAGAATGTGTTTCACGCGCTTCGCTCAACTTATGGTCAACATAATCGACCTACTGAGCGTACTATTCGCAACACCATCATCCATCTTGGGACCCAGCATTCATTATTGGATAATATTCGACCGAATAGACCACGACCAGCACACAGTGAAGAAAAAAGCGGCCGTAGCTGAGGGTGTACCCGAAGACCGTGGAGAGTCGATTCGGCGTCGTTCGCAGAAACTCGGTCTGACGCATGAAACGACTTGGCGCGTTTTTCGTCGAGATCTTAAATTGAAAGCGTACAAAATACAACTTGTGCAAGAACTAAAGTAGCCCGACCTTGCCAAGCGTCATCACTTCGCTCTATGTGCTCTTGAAAAGTTCCAAGACGATCCGACGTTTTCGAGCCAAATTTATATATGAGATATTTGTGCTGCCGAAGTGTCAGTATGTGTTTGTCATCGGTGCGAAAATGAGCTTTGAACAAAGAGCCAATATTAAATTTTGTTTTAAAATTGGTAAAACTTTTACCGAAACGTTTATGGCGATGATTGCCTATCCCGTAGCAGAGTGGACGAGTAGTTTCAACGTTTTCAAAGTGGTCGTGAGGACATAAATAACGATGAACATGTGGGCCAACCATAATAAGTGATCACCGAAAATTCCATAGAAACTGTGTGTGAATTCATAAAAAATCAGCCGAAATCATCATTGAAATTCATGGAAATAGAATTGAACATCTCCAAAACATCGATTTATCGCATTTTAACCAAACATTTGGGCTTACAAAAGTTGTGTTAACGGTTTGTTCCGCACAAATTGGCTCATTAAAGAGGCAAAAAACGACCTCAACTTCCTTTACAAGATTGTGACTGGTGACGAAACGTGGTGTTTTCAATATGATCCCGAAACGAAATGCCAGAGTGCTGAATGGAAGGCGTCGGATGAGCCGAAACCCCAAAAATCACGCCTGGAGAAGTCAAAAGTGAAAACAATGCTGATTTGTTTTTATGATTCCATGGAATGCGGTATTCTACCTTGGAGTTTTGAAGCATTTGGTGCGCCATATTCGACGTGTTCGGCTCGAATATCGCGAAGATGGAAGTTGGCGTTTGTTGCACGATAATGCGCCGTCTCATCGATCGACGCATGTGGCCGATTATTTGACCAAAAATCCCATTTAAAAAATCAACCACTCCCCGTATTCAACTGATATGGCACCATGCGACTTCTATCTTTTCGGAAAAATGCATTTGCCGATGAAAGGAAAGCGTTATGCAGACGTGGAGGCCATTCAAAAGGCTTGCACCGGCATACTGGTGGCCATACCGGGCAAAGCTAAAACACTCGTTCGGCATGCTTTTGGACCGTGCAAAAAGCTGTATTAAAGCAGAAGGAGACTATTTTGAATAAAATTAATTGATTTTGCCTATAAAACCATTTGTTCTGTCAACTTTTTTAAAAGTCCTGTTTACTCAGGAACGCACCTTGTAAAACGCAATAACTTCACTTCCAATAGATGAAATGTCATGAAATTTTTATTGGAAGTCGATAAAGGATAGCAGATTCTAACGCACTAGTCGACATATAGATGGCGCCACTAGAGTTTACTTTGTTACTTTTTTAATGTTTACTTTGGAACGCACCATGTAGAAAGCGGACAGAGTGTGGTAGTGATTGTTCTCTACATCATTCCGAACCAGAGAATTAACGATATAATAAAATTTATACATAATTTCACATTTTTCATACCACAAACCAATTGTATCTTTTCAAGAAAGTATGGAAGTGCATGAATAGATTTTTTATAAATGGAGGCGAAAACATCAACTATTTTTTTTTCACCCTATACTATAGTTTAATGCCGATAACATGTGAAAATGGATCATGAATTACCCAAACTACCATATACTACATATACTGATTTTCGTTGTTCTAACTAACCTTATGAACCTGAAGATAATTCCCTGGCTTTGATCCTGGCAGGTTGCAAGAGAATGAAATGTTACACCCGAACTTAGCGCTTTCTTACTTGTTTGTATGTTAAGACAATTTCCTTTAACTAACCACAACTGTTAGCAAGTATCTTATACTCTAACAGCTTTTTCGCGTCAAAATAGGTTTTAAATATCAAAGAACAACTAAATCTAAAGTAGTTTTTCAGTACATAAATCATCTCTAACAACATGTGTTTTGGTTCTATCTCTAAGTACAATAGAAACTACAAAATTTAAAAATAAAATATAAACGAACTCAAATTAATATATATATATTTTAACAAAACTTTTAAAAAATATTTCGAATGGCTACAACCGATGAATCAAAATTTTGTAGTTCAGCAAGAAGATATTTATTTGGTTTATGTATTTTTTGACTTTGCGGAACCATAAATATGACTTCCTCTTTAACAGAATTAGTGTAAACAGACATAACTCTGACGTTGACGTTGACTGCATAAGTTCCGGCTTGAAGTCATGAATATAGTCTTAGGCTGGCGAGTGTCAAATCGCAAAATAATATTAACTTTTCGTGGAGCTTTGTGAAACCGTGGCATTCCTATTTTAACAACAATTGTTAAGTACTGAAAGGCACAGTAATAAGCTAGGCACACACATATATATCTTTTTTGTTCAAACGACAACAAAATCAATATAAACCGATTAGTTTGACAAGTCATGTTACGTCAACATAACATGCATGTGGGTATCTAGTACGAGTATGTACATAAAAAAGTGAAAGAACACAGGTTTTATTTTCGATATAAATGCCTTGCCGGTTATTGGCCAATACTTCATTCACAAGAATATTTTTTAAGTCTCAACTGCGTTTGCGTAAAGAATAAACAAAATGTTTAAAGTTGTAAGTGTTGAACGTTTTTGAAAGGATCAAATTTATAATTAGCTAATAAACCTATATGTATGTACATAAGGAATGATGAAAAGTGATGTGAATATACGTTTAGACTTGGCATCGTTTATATAGCCTTTTATCGTGGTTACCTTGAAGATCGACGGTTAAAAATTTTACTAAAAGATCTAACATTGATTATTGAAGTTAAAGAGTTAGTCAACGTACTTAATAAAGTTTTCAAATATGTGGACATGTGCACTAAATGTGGATATAAAAGCTCTCATATCCATATCAAGTGAAATTTCTGGAACACCGTAGGTCAGTTTTTGAAGTGGAAACTAATATTGCTAATCGTGAGTGATTCATCCTTCAGTGAATGTAATAATTCTTAGCAAAAAAGCTTTCAAGGAGGAGAGTTATTGTGAAAGTGGTGTTAGAGGTTATAATACCCATACGGTTATAATAAACTTAGCGCTAAGGTATTTAGTATGCAACATTTACTTAGCGATTAAGAAGCATATGCACATAACATATATATTTATTGTACAATAATAATTTTTTTTTTGTTTTTTGTATTATTCCACAGGTCTTCACGATCATATTAGCATGCATTGCTTACGCGAGCGCTGGCATCTTGGCCCCAGCCGCTGTGGTCTACACTTCGCCATCGGAATTGCCCAGCGCCAGCGGTTATGAATACCAACACACCATTCAAACCGCGGACTACGTAAATCATGCATCGGTGGTGAAACCTTTGAACGGTTTCGTTAATGCACCGGCAGTCGTTCGCACTGTCTACAACGCACCGTTGGCGGTGGCGCATGCGTGGTAAAGCCAATAAAAATATTTACCCAGATTGTTGTGGATTTATTGTTCAAAAGGAGTTGCGCAAAGTTTAGTGAAATAAAAAATTGTTTGACGGAATCTACTTTTTTTTCTTTATTTAGAGATTTTTTCAAGTCATACATTTTAGTGGGAATAAATTATAAAATTGTATAAATATTTTGTTTTAATGAGAGAATTTTAAAATCATACATTTCTAAAATAAAAGTTTAAAATATAAAAAGTGAAAATTCTAGCTCTAGAGTTTCTTGGAAGTTGAAAAAAGCACTAAATTAAATATATAAAACATAAATAATGTACCCGAAATTAAGAGGTACATTATACACCCAACCTTAATCAAACCTCTGTCCAATGAGGGGGAAAATTCTTGATTAAAAAAAACCCAATTTGAAACAAGTAAGGAAGTTCTAAGTTTTATACTCTCGCAACTTGCAAGGATCAAAGCCCGGAAAATTATTTCAGGTGTTGGCAAAATTTTATATTGAAGGAAGTATTGATCCGATTCAACCCATTTTTGACACCAAGACATACTATTATCGAGAGTTTCATTTATTTATTTTATTATATAAATTTCAATTATATATCTTACACATTGACCAATATTTTCGGTAAAAAGTCAACTATAGGCACTGAGGTCCACATATTCAATACCTAGGGGCTTGAACAGTTTTGGTTCGATTTAGACAATTTTTGGTCACAAGGTGGCATACTTTAAACGCATTATTAACGCACAGGTTTACCCCGAAACAATCATTGTTGCTTGATTTGCATAGTGGAAAGTGAAAGATTCAGATGGAATTTAAAATTAGGTTATATGGGAAATGGGCGTGGTTGTAGTCCACAATGTATAACATAGAAATATGAAAAGAACGTTATGCACCGAATTTGGTTGTAGGTTAAAAGTAGGCAGTGCCACGCAAGCTGTCTAATTTTGAACGCGGTTCCAAGAAAATCATATCATACCATCCAAGAGATACAATTTAATGTCTCTGGCGTGTTTAGTGCTTGATTTATCGCGCTATTTATTTAAATTTTAAACTGCAGACGCTCTTTCCTAATTTCATCCTGTATACCAAATAACAGTTTTGTATCTTATTGTGGAGCTTAGTTATGACAATTTGTTTGTTTTTGATTAATGGCGTTTTGTGGGCGTGGTAGTGGTCCGACTACGCCCATCATGCTTTTTACCAACCGTCTTACGGTACCAAGAAACATGTGTACCAAGTTTCATAAAGATATCTCAATTTTGTCTCAAGTTACAGCTTGCAGAGACGGACGGACGGACGGACAGACAGTCACCCAACTCGTCTCTGCATCCTGATCAATTATATTATATATACCTATATAACGCTATATCTAACTCGATTAGTTTTAGGTGATACAAACAACCGTTAGGTGAACAAAACTATTATAATCTGTAGCAACAGGTTGCGAGAGTATAAAAATATGGATACAGAGTCAAAAATACCGGAATGTTTATATTAGAGGCACTAATCGATGCAGCCATCTTTTTCCAATAAATGGTATGTTAAAAAAATACCAAAAGCTTACAACTATTTACTTTGGTTGGTTGAAAAGGGAGGTGCAGGTGCAGCCCCATACCGCAGGCGGCCGCACCTAGGCCATCATTAAGCCGATTGCGCTCCCAAGTGGTAACCAATTAAGCCTGATCCAGCAATTCACGGGATTTCATAAAATACATATATACTTCTTTCCCACCTCAGCTGTCCAATGTTTTTTCAGTTGGAACATTGGGAGACGTGGAAGATATCCCAGCTGCAGGTTGGAAACGCGCAAAGGTGTTGTTCCAGCGTCTCATCATCTTTCGATTCGACTTCACCAATTTTGAGCAATGAATGTCTCCTGAATAAACTCTCGTTTTTCTAAGGAACTTTCGATCTTTTTAACTATGTCATCATGTAGAGTATGCTAACTGAAGCCAAGCAGTTGGGTTGAATCCCTTTTCAGTATACTAATCGGTGTATAAGATTTTGGCAAGGAATTGTTTTCGCATCCCAGCCTCTGGATAATGATAGTCTTGGCCGCCTGCCCCATTCTTGCGTGTGTACGCCAAACGGACACAAGCTGTATAAGTACCAACAACACCATAGATATGCACCAGTCTTCAGTAGAGCGGGAAATTACCGTCTGTGCCAGTTGCTTTAGAAGGTTTCAAACTACTAAAAGCTTTAGTGTTCATTTCTGGGGTGAACACAAAATCATAATCCGTAATCAGATCTTGGGAAAAAAATATGTAGTAATGTTTTTATTGAATGCTCCATGTTAAGTGTCCTACAACCTTGGTCATCCTGCCACTGCTGAAGCTGTAAATGTACGATTTCGTATAACCTCTTACTATATTTTCCTTATGCTGAAAGTGGTAGAGGCTTTCAGGTATCATTCGTTTTCTACTTCACGAGACGCTTATTAGAAGCCAATCGAAATGTCTTATCTATCTCTGATCCTTTTACAATACAACGCGGACTTGGGACCGGCTATGGCGGAGTTAAGCTATTTATGTAACCAACTAGACAATTATTTAAAAAACTGTGAAAACCTGTAATAATAACCACTTCTTCAATAATATCTTTCATAAAAGTATTAAAGCAATTATTAGTAATATTTTTTCGCACCAAGTTTAGTTGATATAGCTCGAATGGTTTGTGAGAAAAGCCCTTTAAACTTTTTAGGCGGACCACGTCCCCTTTTAAAAAAACTGTTTACACCACAGATGCTTTTTTATTTTGCAATTCCTTGTGTCAAGTTACAGTTTTGCACCTTAATTTGAAGGTTAGTAACAGCACTTTATATTATATGCTTTCGCTTAACGGCAATTTATAGGTGTGGGGTTTCATCAAAATATCTAAATTTTGACTCAAGTAATCGCCTTTACGAACAGATAGACATCCGAAATTCAACAAGAGCATTAAGCTGTTAATACAAGGTTGTCAAATATCTCAGTTCCGCTTTTTTGTCTTTTGAATTTCGCGGCTATGTACAAAGCGCTACAGAGCTCGTATCTGGCAACACTATACATAATTTGAAAGTTCTTGACATAACCTACAAAACAACGCTATGCATGATTAGTTTGGATATTGCGTTCAACAGTTATAGACGTGTAAACATGGAGTTCACTAACGCCGAAATTCGCGCTATTTTAAAGTTTTCCTTCGTTAAAAGCAAATCCGCTAGAGAAACGTTCCGTGAGATTAATGGTGTTTTGGGGGATGGTACTCTATCACTTCGAACCGCGGAGGAATGGTTTCGACGATTTAGAGCCGGTGAAAACGACACCATGGATAAGCCAGCCGGTGGAAGACCTGTGACGACAAATACCGATCAAATCATAGAATACATCGAGTTAGACCGGCATATGGCATCTCGTGACATCGCCCAGGAGATGGGAGTTAGTCACCAAACCATTTTGAACCATCTGCAGAAGGCTGGATACAAAAAAAGTTTGATGTTTGGGTGCCGCATAATTTGACGCAAAAAAACCTTCTGGACCGAATCAACGCCTGCGATATGCTGCTGAAACGGAACGAACTCCTCCCATTCTTGAAGCGGATGGTGACTGGCGACGAAAAATTGATCACATACGACAATATCAAGCGAAAACGGTCGTGGTCGAAGGCCGGTGAATCGTTCCAAACAGTGGCCAAGCCGGGATTGACGGCCAGGAAGGTTTTGCTGTGTGTTTGGTGGGATTGGAAGGGAATCATCCACTATGAGCTGCTCCCATATGGCCAGACGCTTAATTCTACCATCTACTGCGAACAACTGGACCGCTTGAAGCAGGCGATCGACCAGAAGCGTCCAGAATTGGCCAACAGGAAGGGTGTAGTGTTCCATCAGGACAACGCCAGACCACACACTTCGTTGATGATGATGTCCATGGCGAACGCGCTTAATGGTGAGAAGTTGGCCTCAAGAGAGGCCTGTGAAAATTGGCTCTCCGAGTTTTTTGCCAATAGGGACGCAACCTTCTACAAGAGGGGTATAATGAAGTTGGCATCTCGTTGGCAACAAGTTTACGAACAAAACGGCGCATATTTTAACTAAATCCGATCACTGTAACACTTTTTATAAAGCATTGAATGAAGAGCAAAAAAGCGGAAGGGAGATTGACAACCTTATATTTAGATATCGAAGTATTTCAAGTAAATTATTAAGCTAATAGATCAAAATTTGTGACACCCAGCTTTCTAATATTTAAGCGTTATATGTTTTCGATTTTCTTTCGCCTATAATGATTCATTATGTTATAATAATATGGGTTCGGTTAGGTAACGTTAAACTGACTAGTTTTCAGACCTTCAAGTCCTTTGTAAAGCCAGATGAAGATTCAGTTTAATATGAGCTAAGTCGCGCACAACGTCAACGCTTTGTGTGAAGTTTAATAGAAATACTCTCATACTTTATCCAATTCCCCTAACTGCGAAGCTGACAGATATCTAAACCGAGTCCTATATAAAGCCGGGCAGAAGCAGAGGAGGTTCTCCAACGTCTCTCTCATGCCTGCATCTCTGCGCCTTCTACATATGTCATCGTTAATAATGCCCATTCAGCTCGCATGCGAGTAAGTTGTGACCTGTCATTAGGCCAATGACCGTCCTGCACTTCTTTCGAGACTGCGTGAGTAGCTTGAAGGGGCGCCTGAGCTCTAGCTCTGCGAAATAGTTCTTGGCGCTCACTCCATCAGTCATTTTTGACCCGTCCGTATAGATCTTAAAAGTTACGCTGGAGAGTCGCAAGCCCCTGCGCCATCTACCCTCTTTTAGTATGACTTGAAACCTTGTCTCCTAGATAAAGCGTGAGAATATGTGGTATATTTATTCCATGCTTATCGAGCAATGCCTGAAAGTTCTTGTGAAGAATTCATCTAACGGCGGTGAGCCGCTGTTTTCGCTAGGACTCACGCAAAAGGAATTTTGTTTATTGATTATCTGCCGAAAGGTAAAACAATCACCTGCTCACAAAGGTGTTTTAACAATCATAAAATTTATCGAGATAAAGTACGAATTGCTTGAGCATCCACCGTGTTTACCAGATTTGGCTCCCAGCGACTACTACTTCATCAGAAAC